TCAAAATAAGAACACTGAAGTTGTTGTTAAAACAATGTAACATGAGATAGCTTGTGATGTGAGCATAGATTGATAACTAGTCTAAATAAATGAAATGTGTAGATAGATTGTTAAAAGACAATAGTATGAAAAATATCCTTCAATTTAAAGATCTCATATGCTTTATATTGGTTAAATACTGAAAATGCTACCTTATAACAGTTAACTTTTCCTGTCACTTGGAAAGTCAACTGGTAGGTCTGATGTATATTAAACCATAACATAACAACTTCTTAGGTAGCTGATGGTATACGTGACAATTGACTAATCCAAGTAATCCAGAAGGCCAAGCCATTCATGAAAATCATTGGAATTACTCAATTGACATTATTATAGTATGTATTAGTTAAACAACCTAATAACCCAGAAGGTCAAACCATTCAGGAGGATTATTTAGGTTATTAATCTGATAACTTTTATATTATGTATCAGTTAAACAACTCTAGTAATCCAGAAGGTCAAGTCATTCAAGAGGATCATTTAGGTTATTAATCTGACAACTTTTATATTATGTATTAGTTAAACAACACTAGTAATGCAGAAGGTCATGCCATTCAAGAGGATTACTTAGGTTATTAATCTGACAATTGTACCANGTCATTCAAGAGGATCATTTAGGTTATTAATCTGACAACTTTTATATTATGTATTAGTTAAACAACACTAGTAATCCAGAAGGTCATGCCATTCAAGAGGATTACTTAGGTTATTAATCTGACAATTGTACCATACAACAACAAAACATCCTTAGTGCACCAGAAGGTCAAGTCATTCAGTTGGAACAAGATATTCAGTCGGTAGGTTGATGATTCACTGATAACATAACTTCGGGCTACGTAGTAACACCCAATTATGTACATTATCGTATCATGCATGAAGTTTATAATAATAGACATTATAGAATATTAAGTATTGGTTGGTGTTCATAACCGTGAGCATATTATAAATAGATATATATAGATAAAGTATAATAAAACATCAACATTTTCATAATTTAACTAGTATTATACACATGTTCACCTCTCACTGAGGGGTACAAGTAAACTATTTACACTCCATTACTATTAACAAACAAGAAGTGTGGGTAATCTTCATTATAATACTAAATAAAATACAGACACTGACACTTCTTTCGCAAGGAACAATTGAAATAAAACCACCTATAATATCAGTTAAGCCACAAAGGTAGCGGCAGTTCAATTCTCCAAGTAAAAAGACATAACATAAATGTAGAAATATAGATTTTTGGCTGGAGAGTTGGATGGACTAGGGTTTCACTTCAGAAATCTTCTCTCTTCCTTCCTTTCTCTCTTGTATCTTTCTTTTATTTTTTGGACTCCCCCCTCTCTCCCATTCTCGGATGAAGATGAAGAGGCAGCATATATATAGGTAAAAATGGAAGCAGAAGATGGAGGATGAGCTTAAACCGCTTAGGGCCACCGTCCAAACGGTCCTTGTTTGCTGGTGGAGCTCCCATGACATTCTTGCATGTTTTTATTGTTGAATGACACTTGTCTCCTTAGTTGTTTTAAGCTTTGACAGATTGTTCCTCCTGATTTTTAATAATTCCGCACAAAAAAACCTTGAAATTTTAAACAGTACACACATAAACCCTAGTTTATGCACAAATTTTAATTTATAGTTTTTAACTATTTTATCTTACAAAATTAATTAATTTAATTATATTAATTTATATTAATTAGGGTTAATCAGGTTGGTTTGTTCTTTTTTAGTTATCTACACATAATCCCAACTACAATCCACACTAACACATTCAAAAAAATGTTGTCATATTCTGTGATTTGATTTGCACTAGATATTTTAGTGGTATAGTCACAACTTCCGCTGTCCACCATGTTGAATTTATTCCACAAGTGTCAAAAGTGGAAGTGTCGATGATATTTTGCCACAGAGAAATCTTGGAGCAAAAATTCAGATGACAACAATTTTCTAATCTTGACACGACCTAATAGAATCATTGACCAATCAATTCAAGCAAATGATGCACAAAACTGTCTCGTGCAAGATCAACAATCGAGTGTGTGATAAGGTGTAATTTAATGGACAATAAATAAAGTAATCAATGACAATAATGTAAATATTGAGTTAACACGCAGATATATAGTGGTTTGGTCCGGATGACCTACTCCACTCTGAAAAACTGCAACGGTGGCCGGGGGTCTTTATTGATGAAGTAGGGTGAACGGGGGAGAAAACAATGGTTAGCTCTGGAAGATATACAATAGATAGGAGAGATAAATTATGTGTGTGTAGAAAGGTGTAGAGAGGTATAGAGAGATGTGGTGAGATGCCAAGATGTGTCCTCTTATGTGGAGAGAACTTACAATTTATAGGCATTGAGAGACGGTGACGTGAGAGTAAAGCACTAGAATCTCGAGAGAATAGCTACAAAAGGTAAGTACAATTAAGGTAGCTTTGATCTTCGAGAGTGTGTATCCCGATGATCTTTCCGCCACGTACTCTTTTCTTTATGGAGTCCTTGGATCTTGGACTGGGTCGAATTAATGAAACTGAGCTTGGGCTGCCTTTCTAGTGGATCTGAGCTCGCTTGATTTGTTGAGCCTAACCCAGTTGAATCTAGGCTCATCACAAGCTATGAACTTAGGTGTCTACTATGAAGACAAATCATGGACATGGCATATGGACAAACCATAGAAACATCAGCATGGAAAATTCTAAAATATAGCGCATTAATAAAACTAAGACACAATACAAATAGTTATATAATTAATGAATGTATATGTAGATATCACTCTACAATATATGCAAATTATTACTTTAGATTGGTATATCTTATCGTTTGGACCATGACATGAATTTTAAACACATTTGATTGATGTATATTACTCAATAGTCTCTCAATTCACTCGGTTCTTGTAGTCAAAGTTTAATAAACACAGTCAAATTAATTCCTCTCATCTACTCAAGGCATCTTGTTGAGTATAATCTTTATTTGTTATCTATTTTTTCAGCAAATTTTAAGGAGATCTTTGATATTATTAGTCTTTCAAATTCTACTTTTTATCGTTGCGTGCGGTAGTTCGATGTCAAATTTTCAATTTGGTAATCTTCTGTGAGATGACGTCCAAGAAATGTCAATCACATGTTTATTTTTTGTTACATAAATGGCCTATGAAGTAGGGCTGACAAAGGGGATCATTCGGGAAAAGATATTCTATCTAATATTCTATCTAAGGTAATTGTGCAGACCAAAGATTCAGAGAATCCACCATTGTCTAAGTCAGATTTGATACTGGAAAAAGAGGATCATGAACAAAACCTTATGAACACCAACCAGTACTCAGCATCTGGCTATGAATCTGATGCATATAAGTTGGTTAATTTAAATGATGAGGAGGATGAGAATGTATTTTCTATTTCTTCTGAAGATGTCTTAGACGATGGGATAGACGAGTCCTCATCCTTGTTGGATTATGGTCACTATAAGCAAGATTTTGAATCCTTAACAGTGGAGGCTGAGGAGAAATCAAAGTTCGTTACTCCGAAAATGATGACAACAGTCCGTAAAAATATTCATAGTCAAGGAGAGATAATTTCAAGCATGTCAGGGGAGGAGATTCAAAAGACCTTGAAGCTAAGAGGAGTTTATTCGAAGGATGGCTACATTAAGAGGTCCTTTTTTCATGAGCAATCAAGGGGTTTTTACTCTGATGGGGAAGAGGCACCAGTAGTTCAAGAAAATGATTTCAATTCTTTTATGTCATCTTCTAAAAGGTTACTGTCAATATGCAATAAGGTTGAGATGTAGAAGAAGAGAAAAGAGGAGGAATTGTCTGCTTTGGCTATGGCACTTGATAAAGTCAAACCTATAATTATGACGAGATCAAGAATGTTCAAGTTGCCAAAGCCAAAGAAATCCTATGGATTTAGATATTATTAATTTTTTAAGGATTGGTTCGACTTAATGAGAACTCCTGCAGCCACTACGATTCCAACATTCTATCTTTTAGCATTCTTATTATTCTGTCTTTCAGCTAGGTTATTCAAAGAAAATAACAGATTAATGTTCAACTCCCCAGTACCGTTCACGATACTGTTCATCTAACTTTTTGATGGACTGTCAGCTAGCTTATATTCTCTGGACTCTTCATTGACTGTAAAATGCAGCGTGTGCAGTCATTGTTAAGACTTTATTTTATATTTAAAGTTCTTTTATTATGTAAGGAGAAAAGTTTATGTCATTTCCTCTCTTTATAATTTTGTTATTAATAAAATTTGCCTTAAATGAGTTTAACTAAAAAAAAAAAAGAAGTAGAGCTGACAATTCTACACACAACTCGTGAAACCGACACGTATTTAGCGGATTTAGGTGTAGTCTTAATGGGTTCGGGTGGTTAACGGATTAACTCGACAAACCCGTGAAATAAATGAATCGGTTTCGTGTTTAACCCATAAACTCGTTTCAACCCGTTTAACCCGTTAAGAGTGGTACAATAATGGGTTATTGTCATCTCTCCACCTCTGTCCCATCTCACACCTCTCATCTCTCAGAATTATTCAAATTCAGTAGTCATTTAATGTTTATCTTTTGTTTTTATTTTTTTGTTCAATCATGATTTATTGTTATAGTAAATAGGTCAAATATGTGTAATGTGTGACTAGTTAATGATTTTTCATGTAGACTTGAAATTATCTAACCTATTCTCTTATTTAGCGGGTGATACACGGGTAATATCGGGTAACCTGTCTAATAAACGATTCGTGTATGAGTGCGATAATTAAACTCGTTTATATACGAATAGGGTATGAATGGAGGATTTTTTGACATAAACTCCTTCCATCCGACACGAAACCGTTTCACTCGACACAATTGTCAGGCCTAGTATGGGCGCATTGGTAATTTTAACATATACGTGGCATTTTATTGTGCATTGAACCATTCTGGTTGGTATTGGCCCAAAAACATTTATGGTAGGTTCATGGAGGTTTTTGAACATCAGGGTTGGCAAGAGCTTTGGGCTGGCAACACAGTCAACATGCTGCATATAATACCTACACAGGCAATTGAGCTGGGAACATTTGAATTCGTCAAGCGGGCTATGATTTCAACGCAAGAGAAATGGAGCCAAACCAAATGCTCAAAGGTGCAGATTGGCCATGTCAGACTGAAGGTTTCTCTCTCCAGTTGTTGTGGCTGGTGCAGCTGCTGGAGTTGTTAGCACACTTGCGTGTCATCCCCTTAAAGTCTTAAAGGTGTTTTCGCTCTAAATCATTTGTCTACTAATTTGAAGAACCTTGTTAAAAAGTTTATTTCTGCTTTTGGGCAGTACAAATTAATTTGTTTATCTTCACCATCTCTTGTGACATATAAAAGTACTCATGTTGGTCTAAAATTTAGGGATTAGTAGTATTTGAAACTCTGGGTGTAAATCAAAATAGACAAGTATCTATGTTGTTTCTGCATAGAAAACCAACTATTTTGTTTGTGATTATGGCAGGATCGATTGACTGTGAGTCTCGAGGCTTATCCTTCTCTAAGGATCGCTATTAATAAGATTTATAAGGATGGTGGAATTGGTGCTCTCTATGCTGGCATTTGCTCCCATATATCACATGTTATTATCTCAGGTATGAGACAATGAAGAAATCTTACTACCACACAAAGAAGGAGTCTTTAAACCATGCAGAGATGGTCCTTGTTCGAGTTCTTTCAAGTGCAAATCTGGGCCTTGACTGTGTTATTTTTTTGCCAAAATTAAAGTTTCTCTTTGGTTTCCTCCTGTCACAGAATGGAACCTTCTCAATTTCCTATTAACAAGGTTTATGGGGAGAATAATCTCTTTTTGCTTCTTTTTTTTCAGAATCTTATGATGTGTGGCTTNGAGAATAATCTCTTTTTGCTTTTTTTTTTTCAGAATCTTATGATGTGTGGCTTATGAAATACTTTATGGATTTGAAAAAAAAAAAATACACTCCTTATATTAGGGGTGCCAATTGCCAAGCATTTGAAGCCNAGAATAATCTCTTTTTGCTTCTTTTTTTTCAGAATCTTATGATGTGTGGCTTATGAAATACTTTATGGATTTAAAAAAAAAAAAATACACTCCTTATATTAGGGGTGCCAATTGCCAAGCATTTGAAGCCTTCCCTAAGCCAAAGTGTCATATTGTCAAATATTAATTGGCACAAATCTGGACGTCATTAATGTCTCTGTTTATCATTTCCTATTTTCATTATGTTTTCACCTGCCATGTTGAGTAAATTGGGTGGTTCTGTTTGAAATTTGAGGATCACGAAGCTGGTTAGTTGAATAAACATTTTTTTTTTGGTTATTTAACATGTAGCCTTTGCACTTGAAGCACAATATCTGGCTGTCTATCAGATTAAATTGGCTGTTTGGCAGATTTTTTGCCATCACCGCCAATTGTTTTTACTTTCGACTTCCATCGTTCTTACCTTTTCCTGGCCACCTCCAAAGGGTAACTAATTGTGTTTTTTGTGAAACCTGAACAAGGAAAAAGTAAACGAACACTTACCCAGAGGAATGATGGATCAGTCACTTGTGAAAAAAATACACTCCTTATATTAGGGGTGCCATTTGCCAAGCATTTGAAGCCTTCCCTAAGCCAAAGTTTCATATGTGCAACGTTAATTGGCATAAATCTGGACGTCATTAATGTCTTTGTTTATCATTTCCTATTTTCATTATGTTTTCTCTTGCCATCTTGAGTAAATTGGGTGGCTCTATTTGAAATTTGAGGATCACGAAGCTGCTTAGTTGAATAAACAAATTTTTTTTGGTTATTTAACATGTATCCTTTGTGCTTGAAGCACAATGTCTGGCTGGCTGTCAGATTAAATTGGTTGTTTGGCAGATTTTCTGCCATCTCCACCAATTGTTTTGACTTTCGACTTCCATTGTTCTTACCTGTTGGAGCTCAATAGTTATATGGATCTAGATTTTCACGGGTCACTGAACCATCATTCCTCTGGGTAAGTGTTAATTTACTTTTTCCTTGTTCAGGTTTCACAGCAAACACAATTAGTTATCCTTTGGAGGTGGCCACAAAAAGGCTCATGGTGGGAGCTCTGCGAGGCAAATGTCCACCACCTCATATGGCAGCCGCGCTTGCCGAAGTCTTTAGGGAGGAAGGTTTGATGGGGCTTTATAGGGGGTGGGGTGCAAGTTTCTTAAAAGTGATGCGCCCTCTTAAGGCATCACTTGGATGTTTTATGAGGCTTGGGAAGATATATTGCTTGCTGGTTATCTATAGTTGTCTTGCAGAATCCAATATGGAAGTCCCTTGCTCTTGGTGGGGCTTGAATATCAGGATTTGGCTTGTGCTCAGCCTGGGATTCCAAGATTTGGTGAGTTGGCGGGGAGAGGTGGCTGCCGCTGTCTTCTTCTCTAATAGGAATTGAGCTTCAGTGTTGGTGCCAATTTCGATAGTAGAATTTTCTCATCATCAGATTGAATGCAGTTGGGTCCTGTATTTCAGTTCAACAAGCATGTCCCCGTGTGGCTATGCTTCAAACATGCATTATTAGCATGCCATTTGGTTCAATAGTTTTTCTCATTTTCCTGTTATGTAGTTTCAAGACATAACATAGTGAAATGAACCCACCTATGCTATCCTATTCCTACCAGAGTGAAATGAACTCCACTCCTCAACATGCAAAATTTGTTCCAACTCGCAGAAATTCAGTTCTCAAATAGACAGATGGTACAAAGAGGGCATGGCATATAAACCAAACTGAGAAAGGGTTAGTAGAGAAAAAAATAAAGAAATAAACCCATAGAAATCATAAGGAATGTAAATGTAGTGTGTGTTCAAAAGATGGGAAGGGGCGGCATATGTTTTTACAAACTCCTATGGCTAAGCAGCACCTTCTTCAAAAGCGCTCGTTGTCCCAGGAATGGATTACATATTATTATACGATTATGAGTCTCTGTCGCTGCCCCGTCTTTATAAATCTCCTGATTCCCACCCAAATCCAAATCCAATCCAATCCAAGCCAACCTTATCATCACCATCTTCAAAACTATCCCTACCCTTATCTTCCGTTCCAGTGGAGCTCATTGTCCTTCCCCCCATCAGTAAATGCTGCGATTGTAAACCATTACTCCTCTTCAACCTTCCCCTCTCTCTCTTCTCTCCATCCTCCTCATCCTACTACTCCCTCCGTCACAAACCCTACTACTTGTCTCTCTTTTCTCCCTTATTTCTCTCCCCACACCTCCCTTCTCGGATACCCTCCTTGGTATTCGACCCCCCTTGGAGGTCCCAAGAAGCCCAAAATCGATCTTACTCCAACCCAACTTATCCTCGTTGTCCCAATCGAACCTCTCGCTGATTTCAAGCAATTCAGACACCACGTTTTGATCAACTCTTGACCCTGAGCCTGAGGAGCAAAAAACATCTCCATTCAACAACTTCTCTGCCAATTCCCACTCAATTCGGTCTCTGTAAAGTGGGTCATTCAGGACTTGGTCCATGAGCTGGGCCCACTCCTGGAAATCACTAGCTTTGAGATTTGTGGAGACCCAGTTGAGGTAGTTCGATGGGAGGGTTCCTAGCATTTTGCCTTTGTACTTTCCGAAGTCAATGACTCGGTCGCGTCCTGGGATTGTTGTTGTTGAGACTAGAGCGGTGGTTCGGAGGATTGAACTGGAGGTTTTGGGACCCCTGTCAAAGCAAGACACTGTAGAGGAATCGAGGATGGAATATGAAGGAGTACTTCGGAGAAGCAAGAGATTCATGTTTGTCCTCCTTTGAACAGGTGGTAGATGAATAAGCAGTGTGGTCGATTTGGCGAAGAAGAAGAAGATAACCTACCCTCTATTTAGCGGTCCCTGTTTGGATGCTATTAACTAAAGTTCGAATTGACTCTTCATATTTGGCGAAAAAAGTTGGATAGGATGAGATTGAATTTTTAAACCCAAATTCATCCAAACTCAATCCAACGAAGCTGGCTACAAGTTGAAGAAAAAATTCATTATTTATCTAATCTGATACTTTTGGATTGTACGAAGCCCAATTAGTATATGTAGATTGACGGATTAAGTGGTCATCATTGTCCGACCACACAGACTTATNAAATTCATCCAAACTCAATCCAACGAAGCTGGTTACAAGTTGAAGAAAAAATTCATTATTTATCTAATCTGATACTTTTGGATTGTACGAAGCCCATATAGTATATGTAGATTGACGGATTAAGTGGTCATCATTGTCCGACCACACAGACTTATTGTTGGAACATTTTGTTGATAAATAATACAATAAAACTATTGGGATATAAAATGGATACTTAATCATATCTAACATGGATTTGTCACCTCATTAAAAATTGGGTAAGTTATATTTGAATTGTTAATCGAACAAACAGACTCCCTCCCATTTCAAAAATTACATTAAATCCTCTTAAAGTATGTGCACGTGCAACATATAGTATTTTTTTTGTTGAGATCCGTTAAACATAGTGTTAAAATTTGATGATACCAATATCCTTTTTATATAAAATTTCCAAAATACCCTATCACCATTTCAACAAAAATTCAATAAAAATTATTAATTTTTAATTTTCGATTAAAACCCCAATATCCAAACTAACAGNAACTATTGGGATTTAAAATGGATACTTAATCATATCTAACATGGATTTATCACCTCATTAAAAATTGGGTAAGTTATATTTGAATTGTTAATCGAACAAACAGACACCCTCTCATTTCAAAAATTACATTAAATCCTCTTAAAGTATGTGCACGTGCAACATATAGTATTTTTTTTGTCGAGATCAGTTAAACATAGCGTTAAAATTTGATGATACCAATATCTTTTTTATATAAAATTTTCAAATACCCAGTCACCATTTCAACAAAAATCCAATAAAAATTATTAATTTTTAATTTTCGATTAAAACCCCAATATCCAAACTAACAGCCACCACCAACTCTCCTCTCTCCTTCTACCACAGCACCACTAGCGCCAGAACCACCACCACCACCACAAATATTGCCACACCAAAGCCACAGTCCAAAATCACCACCACCGCCACACTAGAGCCATAACCCAGAACCACCACTATTACAGAGCCACAACCCAGAACCACTAACTCTCATCTCTCCTTCTACCACAACATCGCCAACGCCAGAACCACCACCACACCAGAGCCACAGCCCAGAACCACCACTACAACACCGACACACCAGAGCCACAACCACCGTCAACATCACTTCTACCACCACCATCATCATCACCCATCACAGGTATGGATTTCCTCACTTCTCTCTGCTACACCCAAAACCAAATCCCAAAATCCCCCAAATTCAAAATTCCCTTAAATTTGAGAATTCACCAACCCTAATTCTCTGTCAAACACTTCCTTTCACCACCGTCATTACCACCCTCTTCTCATCGCCGCCGTTTACCCAGCCACCAAGGGGTGGTTAACAAAGAACACGGAGAGATAGAGAGAGAGAGAGGGGTCGGTGGTGGGCAGTGAGCAGAGATAAATGGGAGAGAGACTCTACTGTGAGTTGTTAATGATTGAACACAGAGATGGTGGGCCGTGGAGTGGAGAGAGATAGAGGAGGGTAAATGCAAGGCAAAAAAGGGTCAGGTCGGGTATGGTATTGGGTTTAGTTCATGCTAGTTTTATTTATTTTCAATAAGGGCAAAATAGTCCTTTTAAAATTTACGTGTTAGTCCACTAGGACTGACAAGGGGTGTTATTGAAATATGTCATACTAGAGGAGGTCTATGTGTTTTAGAGACAAAGTTCAGGGGGAATCGATATAATTTACACTTAAAAATTTGTCAACTAATTTACTCATTTGAGCTTATTTGGATGAATTTTGGATGGGAGTTTGGATTGATTTCTCTACACCATCTTTGCAAGGATGAGATTTAACATTCAATCTGATCTATACCCATATTTAGTATGCAACACATACACATATAAGACCACAGATATATTATAATTATTAAAAATTATTTGTCTTGTAAATAATTATTTTACCTTTGATCAATCTAATTTATGTCCATATTAAGAGATACAATTATCTTTTGGATCCTTAATCCTTTACCAATCTTCTCAAACTCACCATTCACTTAGATTTGACGAAACTCATGATTATAAATTTATTTTTCGAGTAAGTTATAGGCCAGATTTAGAAACTCAAGACTAAATCTTCCGTACAAACTAATTGTAGTTTAAATTTTTTGTTTGATTGACTGATATTTAATACGATAGTGTCATTATCCTAGTAATTGTGATGCTTGTATTTATGTACATCATTAAGATGGGAATTCTAATCTGCACATCAAAGAAATTACTATGAGAGTTTGAATTGCAACATTTAGTATAGTTGATTCTATACATATTAAGAAGTTTGTAACAATGAGACATAAAATTGTATATATTAAAATTTTCAAATGTAAGCTCGTCTCAAAAAAAAATTAAAATTGCAAAGGTGTCCATGTTATTGAATCTTTCTCACTGGCCATGATCGAGTTGTGGTGGATCCAATTAATTGACTAATAAAAAATCTAAGGTGTTAACACTCAAAAAAAAAAAAAAAAACCTAAAATAGAGAGTCAATAAAATAAAAGATAAGCAAGCAAGGAGGAGAGGCTGGAATAGAATAGGCAAGGAAGGGTTTTTGACGTTAGTCCATTTGAAGTAGTTAGTTAAAAAACGTCAAATAGACTGACGTTTTTATATGGTTGAATTGTTTATAGTTTTGATAAAAAACGTCAGTTAATTTGACATTTTTAGTCTAAAAATGTCAGATCAATTGATGTCTTTTAGCCTAAAAATATTAAACTAAATGACGTTTTTAAAACTGCTTGAGTTTAAAAAATACTTTTAAACCTATCCTCGTTTGTAAATATATTTATACAACCACTTGGATCGGGTCAAAAGTTCGCATAAAACCTAGGAAGTATGAAAGCACCCAAGGAACCCAACAAGTCAACAACCAACACCGATATACCGTTCGGTGAAGAAAAAGAGAGTTTCAATTTTTTTTCCTTCTTCTATTCCTTTGTTCACCAATTTGTGTGCAATGAACACTACAAGACTTGGCTTTCGGCATCGATCTCGATCGCTCCATGTTTACTCTTTTATGCCATTGGACTTGATACGAGAAGAAGTGATTGGAGAGTTGAATGGAGTGACCAAAGTTGGTATTTTTGTGTTGATTAAATTCCTTGTGTGACTTGCCAAAGACGTGTCTCGAATGGAGAGAGACTTTCGTTGCTTGCTGGTAGAAGACGGAATGATGGGCTGCTTGCTGGCAGAAGAGATGAATCCCTGAGGATGATAAAGAATTGGGAGAATAAGGCCTTAACTCAAACCTCGACTTAAATTTAAATTTGAGTAAAAAATATAAAAAATTTGCTCAAATCTTGACTCAAACTTATACCGAATTAAGGGAAACACAATTTTTTACTCAAATTAGGAGAGACTTAAATCCTTAATCAAAATTTTAATGGTGAGATTTCACCATTTTTTAAAAATCTAAATGTCATCTTTACTTTTTTTAAATTTAGTAGTTTACCCTCATTTTTTTTTTTTAGTTTACCCTCATTTAAATTTGGGTTTCTCCTTCTTTAAATTTAAGTTTATCTATTGGAGTATTTTATATCAAATCAAATTTTTTACTCAAATATTTATTTAAATTTAAAAAAAAAATTTGAATCATAGTTGGATATGCTCAAAGAATAAACGGAGCAAGAGACCTAAAGAATAAGAGTAAATTAGTTGGCAAAATTTTAATGAGGTGGCAAATCCATGTCGGATGCCATCGCATTAAGTCCTCATTGTTTGTCCCAATAGCATTATTAAGCAATTAATATATAATAGCCTTCTCTTCTTCTGTAATTAATTACTGCAGCTAACATTTGACAAATTAAGATAATATATATATATATATTAGTCGTAACCCGTGCTTGAAGACATTATAAAATATAAAATTCGAACGTTCAAAAAATTAATCACACTATATTAAATTTTTTCAATATATTTATACTATCATAAATAAATAACGTTTGAAATAAAAATTATATTAAATACAAATTAATTAAATATTAAATGATTAAACATATGATAGAAGTGAGTGATGTGATATTTTTAGGGGAGAAATATATAAATGATTAAACATGTGACAAAAATGAGTTATGTAATATTTTTAGGGGAAAAAATATATAGGGAATAAAACTTCAAATTATCATATGTTTTATTATGTAGATATACAGTCATAACCCGTACCTGAAGGCATAATAAAACATAAAATTCGAGTGCTTAAAAAATTGATCCTATTATATTAAATTTTTTCAACATGTGTATATTATCGTATATGGATAATGTTTGAAATAAAAAATATATTAACTATAAATTAATGAGTATATGGATAATGTTTGAAATAAAAATATATGATAGAAATGAGTGATATGATGTTTTTAGGCGGAAAATGTGTAAATGATTAAACATGTGATAAAAATGAGTGATGTGATATTTTTAAAGGGAAAATATGTAGGAGATAAAAATTTAAATTGCTATATGTTTTATTATATAGACTAGTCATAACATTCAGGCAGGATTAAATATAAAATTTGAGAGTCCAAAAAATTGATCTTATTATATTAATTTTTTTCAAAATATATTAATTACAAATTAATTAAATATTAAATGATTAAATATATGATAGAAATAAGTGACGTGATGTTTTTAGGGAACAAATATATAAATGAT